TAATTGTTATTTAGTGAACTTAATATATATACTATTTGGATTTGGCCAAACGACATACTCCCACCCGAACTTTGCCCTAATGACAATTTACTACCTAAAAAGTTTGAAAACGACAATTACCCACTTTCTGTCAGAATCTGTTAGTAAAATCAATTTGAAGAAGGATAGGATAGTGATTTTCTATGTAACCAAAAAATCTAATGCCATGTGTCGTTCACTCTCTTTAATATTAATTTTATAATAACTCTCTCTTTTCAATTTTCATTATTTTATTTTTACAATTAATTTTAATTAAAATTCTAGTATCTACTGCAATAGCAAACTTATTCACCATCTGCACTAGGGTTGTAGTTGAGCCGAGCCGAGTATTGGTTGCCTCAAGCTCGGCTCGTTGGGGTAATTGTAGGACTCGAACTGAGGCTTGAGCTTGTCGAGCCCAGCAAATTGGAGATCAAGCTCGAGCTTGAGACTAGAAGCACGTGCTTGAGCTCGACTGGAATAGTGGTTGAACTCGATTATAATTCAATGTTTGACTAAGCAACTTTTAATTAGGCAAATTACACCTAATGCCTAGAATGAGATGAAATTTAAAGATACTTATGAGATATTTATTGAGGATTATATATTTATGCTCACATATGGTACTAAATCTAATCTCTTGAGAGGTAGTTAGATATGGTGAGTTAGTCATATCAAATGCCTTAATATTGAATAAGTTTTGGTATATGTTCTATGATGGCATATGGGGTTGTTTCAGATAAATTATTGAGGTACTATATATATACTATGTCCTCAGAGATATGGTTAAGAATTATGATTATGTTTGAATACATGCTACAATGGTTGTGATATATGATTCATTAACCAAGGTGTTAAACTTGTTAATTACTATATACATGTTGATAACATGTGTTTTGAGTTTTTGATGCACTTGGTTGCTAGGAGTTTTCTTCTGTTTATTACATGATATTATTTGGATTTGTAATAAACTTGATATCATAATGGCGTTTGTGAATCTATGACATTATAAGAAATGATATATACAATATTGTTATTATATAATGTCACATGCGTGCGATAGATATTTTACATTGTGACATGTTGAACTAAAGTTTGATGACATCATTATTTATAGGAGTTGTTTTGCTTGTTTTCTTGTATAAAAATGTTTTATTGTCACTTTAGATGCATGGTTTCGCTTCCATGATAAGTGGCCGTGAAGGTTTGATATGAACATTTAAGGATTACTGTAGAGTACATCAGTACTGATTTTATGTTTGCTGATCCCTAACTAAAGGACTAAGACTTATTGTTTTTAAACGTCATGTATAAAACATGGCGTTTTTAGGATCTTTTGATATTTTGGGTTAGTGGGAGTTTGAGATATATTTTTTGTTGACTTTATGTCATTTTATTTTGATCATGATCATTGGTTTTTTGTATACTTGTATATTTATACATATACATACACATGCGCATGTGGATGGTGAAATACAACATTGTGTCTCAAGAATAAGGTTTCTCTTGTGAATGACAGTTTTATAAGTATGTTTCATGTTTGAATATCTTGAGATTATTGGTTGAAACATACAAGTTTCGTTGGTAGCTGTGTGGCTTCGTTAGAAGTTGTGAGATTTCTCTTGCTTTTCCTTAAAGAATAAAGGTTAAAAAGAAATCTTAATGGGGACTGACAAGATAGTAGCACATGCTTATGATTACATTGCTGGGTGCTATTCCTACCACAATACCAGATTAGTGATCCGTGTTAATTTGATTATTGGTAATTGTAATCATGGATTGATCTTATGTCAATGAGAGATGTAAAGACTGTCTTGGTTCATTATTGATAATTATATTAATTGGATTGTTGGTCGAAGTGTTATCTCTAAATTATTTTGTTTTCTTCAAATAGTGACCACTTTAAAATTTTAACCGGGAGTCAAAATTGTTTCCTTTTGTTCAATTAAAATAAAATAATTAATGTTGTCCAATTGGGAGAATGTTGGAAAATTTCCTAATTGCGGGCTAATATTAATTATATTTTGTTTTAACAAAACTAGGTAAATACATGTCATATAAGATATTTTTATTGGGCTTAATGTGATCATAAATTGTAGCCCAATATACTTCATTGCTAGATAATCTAGGTGGATGGTAAAGTGTCAGATCTAGGGTTTATTGGGGCCCATAATGGGAGGTCCCTTCTGCGAAACTAATTAACGTACGCTTTATCCAAAGAAAGTCGTCATTGAGTTCAATTTTAGGAGAGGAAGACTAGTCAAGGATTTAATAAATCTCACACACATCAAGGCTAAGACAAGTATTCCTAAAACCCTAAATTTATTGATTTAGTGTTCTATTATCTATGCATGATCATATAATTATTTTAGTGTTAAATTTTTCACGATTTATCTTATAGTTATAATCTGGTAACTTGAATAGAAGCAATATAATTTTAAAGAATTAATTGTTTTAGAGCTACTCAATAAACATTAAGGTCAATTCCAACTCAAGGGAGAAGCAACTAAAACAATAGCTTAAATAGAGCCATAATAAGGTTTCATTTATAGGATTTCCTTAATAAAATCAATTTGTTTAATTAAATTCACATAGTTTATGATTTCTTAAAAAGAGGTTCAATCAATGCCTCATTGAATACGTAATTTAATATTAATAATTTAATCTTAAATGCCGATAATTATACATTTGCTTTTGCATTAAGATTTAATGTCAATAAAGTGTTCAGCTTGTGTAGTTGTTGTAAAAGTCAGTCATGCCGAATCATTAATTCTATTTATTAACGAAAATAACTTAGGCCTGATATTTCATCAATTTACAAATTACAACCATGATGTTAAAAGACGTTTCATTTAATATTTATTTTAATTTTGATATTTACTGCAACGCGGAGAAATGTAAGTTAGATATATTATTGATTTGACATTAATTTTTCACTTCTTATTATATATGTTTATAACATATATGACGGTCCAATATTAACAATATATATATGAGAAAAACGTAAATCATGCACATAGAGAAAATGGTTGACCATTAATTGATTTCTTACTTATCGAGTTGAAATCATAAAGGCGTTAATTACATCCTGGTAAATCCAATTCAGCATCAATATTCAAATATTAAAAAGAAAAAAAATTAACCAAAAAAGAAATACGTTTCAAAGTAATAATAAACAAAGTATCTTAATCAGTGTTTCAACTTTTTTATTTATATTCTCTCTCATATTTGATACTATTTTTATAGGGATGATCGGTTCTGAGTATCCTGTATTTTTTTAATAAATCAAAACTAGTCGATTTCTAAGATTTGGATTTGGAATTGGAATTGGTCGGTTCCGATTCCTAGAAACTTGGAACCGAAACATTAAACATAGGTTTTGGTTCGGTTCCCGATACCCTGGTTAATTTTATTATCCCTCTAAGTTTTAAAAAATGACAACCCCAAAAAATTCAATGCACCCCCAATAGTTTATAAAAATTATAATTTAGTCCTGATTTCTATCGGGGTGCCTAGACCTCGGTTTCGATTCTGGTTCCAATTCCAGTTTCCGGTTGCAGCACTGCAGGAACAAGAACCAAACCCTAAAATTCCCGGTTCCAATTTTCGAAAACCGGAATCGGACCCTAATGGGGCCGGTTCTGATTCCTACTCGGAACCGATGGGTGGGTACTTGCTGGTTCCGGTTCTACCCTTTACCATGCTCACCCATATTATATATCGCTCAATTTATTCATTTACATATCAATATACAACGTTATTAAAAAATAAAATAGAAGGAAAACTAAGAGAAACTTCCACTGCCGGTCCCCAGTCTCATTGCTGCTAATATTTAATCATTCATGTATATCAGATGGCACCAAAAATAAAGGCATTGCATTAATTTCAACTTCTTTTATAAATGGAAGTCCACTGACAGAAAGGAAAATGCTTTCTCTTGTGCTCTTAAATTATTTGTTACCAGATGTAGTGGACTAGTTGGAAATTTTACCTTTTGGTGTCCTAGTTGCCGTAAGTTAACAAAACTGGAGACCAAAAATGGATGAGGTCCAGGGCTAATGAAGACTTCCTCATCGGTAAACTGACGATTAAGAAGTCATTATTTCATATATTAATTAATAAAATTATTCAATAGAATGCGGCATCTCTAAAACCCCAAATCTGAAGTTTTGTTTTGCTTCTGCCTTGTAATTTCTGAATTATTTTCCCCTGGTTAACCGATATTTTCTTTTTCTAATACTAATAAATTTCAACCCTTCTACTAGTGATGTTGTTTAGGAAAAAGAAAACTTTTTTTTTTTTTTTTTAATGATCGAGGGTGTCTAAACCAGTTTATGCATATTTTAACTAATTGGATAGAATTACTGACTGAATAAGAGCTCTAGTGGCTAACTCTAATAGCAATCGAGAAGGGATTCAAACTTAGGACCTCTTCTTATGTAATATACTAAATAGTTCCTAACCACTCGACCACCTAGAAATAGTAAAAAAAAAAAAAAATTATGCCTTGTAACTTGAATTTATAATAAAATTCACGAAATGTGATACATCTGGGACTTAATTTATATGTACTATATCACTAATATATATGGCCTATTGTTTATTGACCCCAGGAAATGTAAATCTGAGCCAGCTACTGTATACATATATATGCAACATTTCAATATCTCCAAATATATTTAAAATGGCAATTATATGATGATGAAACAATCTGCCAGAGTTATAGCTTGCCACGCAATATTTTAATTACCTCATTAATTAATGACTTTAGTAGAAGTTTTCATTTAGTCCAATTAAAAACCTTATCAGTATTTTTAGGCATTGATTAAACTTAAATCAGGCTCCAGCTGTCACGGCTCTAGTACTCTCTATGCATTAATTTGTTCTTCAAGGTCCTTGTAATTTCATCTAACAAAGGCAGAATGCACAAGGCTATATAAAGCCAATCGAAATCTTATTTGATCCACATCCGACAAGGGTATTTGAATACAATTATCTATTCCGAGTTCCTTGAAATCTTTTCAGTAATGAAAACATCAAAATTCATTTCTTCTAAATGGATGGTATTAGGTCTTGTATTGGTTTTGGGAACTATTGCTCCCCTCGCTGAAGCTCGAGCTTTCTTTGTATTTGGTGATTCACTTGTCGATAGTGGCAACAATAACTACTTAGCAACAACTGCTCGTGCCGATGCACCACCTTATGGAATTGATTATCCTACTCGTCGAGCAACAGGTCGTTTCTCTAATGGCCTCAACATTCCTGATATCATTAGTAAGTTTTTCGAAAGCTTGTTCGTATCAATATATATGATTCAGACACAAACGTACACATTATTGTTTCATCTATTTAAACATGCAATTTAATCAGGTGAGCAGATTGGTCAATCCGAACCTCCACTGCCATACTTGAGTCCGGAGCTTACTGGACAAAGGCTTCTAGTTGGTGCCAATTTTGCTTCAGCAGGGATAGGAGTTCTCAATGACACTGGAATCCAATTTGTAAGTCAACATGCATATTTTAAGAACTATGTAGATTAATTTGAAGACCTTTAAGGTTTATACATTATATATATACATATAAAATCTTCAAAACGTACTTTGAAACAAACAGTCTTAATTAATAGCTTGAAATTGATTCTACATTTGCAGTTAAACATTATTAGAATGTTTAGACAATTGGACTACTTCGAGGAATACCAGCATCGAGTGAGTGCTCTGATTGGAGCTCAAGAAACTCGTCGACTTGTGAACCGAGCTCTTGTACTCATCACCGTTGGTGGCAACGATTTTGTGAATAACTACTACTTGGTTCCTTTCTCTGCACGATCTCGCCAATTTGCTTTGCCAGATTATGTTAAATATGTCATCTCAGAGTACAAAAAATTACTAAAGGTACGTAATTCCTCATTCACATTTAATTAGCTAAAACTTTTGCCCGAAATTGCACGACTACAACGGTGGACAGCGCAATCCTTGATTTTAATCTTATTGAGTTATTGCAGAGGCTATACAAATTGGGAGCACGTAGAGTTCTTGTGACAGGTACCGGACCATTGGGTTGTGTTCCGGCTGAACTGGCGATGCATGGAACAAATGGTGGATGCTCCGCGGAACTACAAAGAGCTGCAGCCTTGTACAATCCACAACTCGTCCAAATGCTAAAACAACTAAACAGAGAAATCGGTAAAACCGTGTTTATTGCGGTAAATACACAACAATCGCACATGGATTTCGTCAGTAACCCTCAAGCTTATGGTATGATCGATGTTACTCAAAGTATAGAATAGCTAAAAAGAATTTAATATTTCCTTGTAGTATTTTAGACTAACAAACTTGAGTAAATTGACATTCTTCCTTGTTCTTTCTCTTGTATTAAACTATATACATGATGTGTTTTGTAGGATTTACGACATCAAAGGTAGCTTGTTGTGGACAAGGACCATACAATGGGCTTGGCCTATGCACTGGAGTGTCTAATTTGTGTCCGAATCGTGACCTCTATGCATTCTGGGATCCATTTCATCCTTCCGAAAAGGCAAATAGAATCCTCGTTCAACAGATTATGACCGGCTCTACCAACTACATGACCCCCATGAATCTCAGCACTATCATGGCCTTGGATTAATTATCGCCCATTTCTTCATTTCGATATTGTATTTTTTTTTAATTGATTTGTCTGTTTTTAAGCGTGTGGATGTTCAAAGTCTAAGTTACAAATAAAATTAAGGGTGAGTTTGGGGTTGTTATCGCTTCTCCCATAACCACTTATTTCATAATCTATAACTCAAATAGTGTTTGGTAAACAACTCTGAAAGTGATTATACAACAAGCTGAATATAATCTATTTTATAAAAAGACTCCAAAAGAATGTATTTGTAGCTTTTAGAATTCAAAACTGCTTTTGGCAAGGTTAATAGTTACGAAAAAAAAAAAAAAACATTAACTTAAATTATAATTTTTTTTAATAAAAATAATTAAATAAAATATCAGAAACAAAAAAGTTAGAAACTCCACGGCCAGCAGTTGCCAGTGGTGGCTGACTACCGCTGCTGGAAAATTCTCCAAAGGCGAGTGGGCTGACATCTTTGGCACGGTTGCACTCGCCGACAGGCAATTTATACAACCACGCCGGCCATGGCATAAAAAATGGCAGTGGTTGGCCGCAGTGGTCCCGCAAAGTTCGATTGAAACTTTGCTAGCCTGTTGCGAATCAACAACTAAGTATTTAACAAAGCCAACATGGTTGCACTTGACGACCGACGATTTATGCAACCACGTTGGCGTGTGTCGACTCACTCACCTCTAGAGAATGTTTGAAAGTTTTAAACTTTCTAATGAAAAAAATTAAATTTTAATATAATTAATAATAGAAAAAAATTATTTAAAAATACCTATTTTGGTCTTTTTGAATGGGTCATATCTAATTTCTCAAAATCAAAAGTAATTCTAGAATTTAACAAAACAAACACCTCATATATTAATTTTTAGTTGGTTATTTCAAAAGTTGACCAATAAGAGATTGTGGAACAAGCAATACCAAACTAAACCTAAATTATTTGTGTTTCCAATGTTGGATGATCAGTATGTAAGATTTAAGAAGAAAATACATTTTTATTGAATTATTTAGTTTCTTTCTTACTTGATTGTCAATATCAAAATTCTTTGATATACATGTAGCATATATCATGTAAATTTTCATCCCAATTCTCTTCTTTATTCTTCCTTCCCCCTCATTTAATTTGCTTATGAAAAAATGTTTGAAGTCTTTGTTAGATTTTCAATTCAATTGTGTTATGTCAAGGCTAAATATAGACCTCTATGCTGACCTTATTGTAGATGGTAAAAATCTATGGTTACGGAATAGACGAATCTTTTAAGGTTGAGGCCATTCAAGATCTGCTAGACCTGCATGCACAAAGAAGTAAGTGCGAAGCTCATGAGGGACACCGGTGTGATGTCTGCCATAGACACTTCGAAGCTCAAGCAAACGAGGCTTGAGAGGTAATTTAGTGAGGGTTAAGGGGAGAAAAGGTTACTGGAGTCTTGTCGGAGACTAGAACTGCAACGAAGGTGACGGTAGTTCTTGAGAGCAAGAACTTTAGGAGCAAGTAAGTAGTATTGAGATTTTTCCATAATGAGAGGGTAGACCTCTGTTTATATAGGGAGCTCAAGGGGTTTGAGTCCTAGTAGAATTCTAAGTTTATAATGGTGGAGTTTGAGAAAATAGGAAGGTCTTGATTTATTTGTCTTAGTAGGAGTAGGAGGCCTAATTCAAGTAAGATTCAAGATCTTAGATGAATTATGATGTAGATGAAACCCTTGGAGGGATTGGGATAAAGATGGAATCCGTAGATGAATTAGGATATGAATGGAACTCTGGGCCCTTTGGAGTGACCATGGGCCGATGGGCATGAGCCCAGGTGGGCTAACGACGAGACCCAATTTGAAACAAGGCCTTAGTAATTGGATGATCCAACTCGTGAGTAGTCTGGTTGGTGTAATGAGCTGACTTGTAGGGTGGATCTTAGCGTAGGTTCAACCAGAATTGGGCCATGGCCTTGGCCCTGGCCCATAGTTTGGCCCATAGACTTATTAATATGATAAACTCTACACCAATATCTTAGATTTCTGTATAATCAGAAGTAATTATATATATAGACGGCTGTAGAACTACTAATAAGATGGCTAAGCAGATGAAATACCTAAGATAAATTTGAACTACTTCTTGTAATGAAAATTTTAAAGCGGGACAAACAACACTTAAAGCCACTATTATGAGCACTTTAGAATGAATTTAATGAAGTTCTTGGTCACAACGGTACATTCAACTTCCAATATTAATACTCACATGGAAACTTGCGTTCACTAACAAATTCCTGAAGACATTAAAATGGATGAAATAAAAGTTTAACTTTTTTTCCACTCATTAAATAATTTAGTGACTGTCTTTCCACCAGTGTCTTAACTGGATGTTTCTGTCATTCTCTTTTCTATGGTTTACATGATACAATTCAATTCCATATATATAGTTCCTTTTCTTCAATGGTACCTCTATCAGCAATCATCATGTGATTTAACTTTCTATTCTTGACCTATTAATTTCTCCTTTTCTTGTTTTCCTTTTAACCATTCACAAGTATATATCACCGATTCTCCTCTTCTTGCTTTCCTTTCATGAACCATTCACACGTGTATATCACCAATCTTCAATCTAATCCATTGAATAATTAAAGCAAACAAATATATGTATCAAATATTAATATTATTACACACCTCTTACAAAGATTTGTATATAAAATAATATCAAAAAAATAAATAGAGAAGTGATTATTAAAAGTTAAACTCATTATATTCATTATTCTATTTATTTTATATCACATCACTTTGTATATATATCTTTTTAAATTTTTTTTATATGTGTAGTGTTATTATCAAATACATATTAAAACTGAAGTTCATTAAAAAGAAAATCATTGCCTACAAGTAAGTTTTACCTGATACCACTTATTTACATAAAAAACCCCAAAAAATTCATCTATTTTAGAATTTAAATATTTTTTTTTGGAAAAGGTAAATTTCATAAAAGAAGAGAAACTATATAAAAACTAGGGACATACCCCAAAAGAGGTCTAAAGAAAATCAGAACAGATGTGTCAATCTTTTTGGACAAAAGGATAGGAACAAACGTCTAAAAAAAAAAAAAAAAAAACACGCAGGCTCCAAACCAAGGAGGAAGATGGGCATAGACGCCCTCATAGAGTTCGTAAGCTCAAACCAAACAGAAAAGAGAAAATGGACATAGGCACCCGACAAGAACGCGCAGGCTCAAAGATATGATTCACTCTTTTGTTCTTAAACAATATATTAAGGGTAGAAAAGATATCGAAGCAATGTGTTTAGTTGAAATGATACAAAAATAATTTCAATCTCTAGAAAAGTAATTTCAGATATTAAAAATATGCAGATATAGACTACTCAATTGTTCATCTGATATATTTCATTCACCGCAAAATAATCATGGGTAACAAATGAATGAAAAATTAAATCTGAATTGCCGCAGAGAAGTAATGATACAAAAAGTGAATTCATACCTGCAAAAAGCAATATGACAATTCGAAGGCATTGATTAAATTAAAGCTGGCACAACTACCCTCAATAGCTTAATTTCTTTTTCACGGATCCTTTTAATATTATTCAATACAGCGAGATTGTTGCACAAGCTCTATATAAAGCTATTCCCGTTCGCGATTTCATCACAATCCCAAAGTCCGTTTCAATAAGAGCTATTGAGAGGCTTTTAGAAATTAATTAGTCATGTCAATAGCTGCTTCCCCATTCAATGTTTGGATCATTTTTGTTCTTGTATTGGCAATGGGAGCTATTTCTCCTATCGCTGAGGCTCGAGCATTTTTCATATTTGGTGATTCACTAGTTGATAGCGGCAACAACAACTATCTCGCAACAACTGCCCGAGCTGACTCACCACCTTATGGAGTTGATTATCCTACTCGTCGACCCACAGGCCGTTTCTCCAATGGCCTCAACATCCCTGACATTATCAGTTACATTTATTACCCCTTTTTGACATTATATTTATATATCATGTTTGATAATTTACATTTTAATATACGCAGCCACCAACGGAAACTGGCTATATACCGGCGTCAAGCCTGACGCCTTGAAATTTTAATATGCCAACGCCAATATTGTGTCGCCGTCTGGATTCCATACCCTGACGTCCATGGCGTTGGGGTAATGTTAATCCCGCAATGCAGGCGACTTGTGTCGAAAGAATACCGAAATTTGTTAATCCGCCAACGTTATGCATGGCGTTGGCATTTGATAGACAGTTTTTGGATTAGTTTACACTGGTGTAGAAACAGCTATACTTAAGTCAAAGAAGGGTTACATCGACACAGGAAATGGCTATGTCAGAGCTGGTCGTGCGTCGGTGTAGACCCTGTTTCTAGTGGTGATCCATTAATATTGATTATTAGGATAAATGAAAGATAATATAATAGGAGATCACTAATTTTATCTCTAGCAATAACAGCAACTGACATGCAGGTCAGCAAATTTGCCAATCCCAACCTCCGTTGCCATACTTGAGTCCGCAGCTAACTGGACAGAGGCTTCTGGTTGGTGCCAACTTTGCTTCCGCAGGGATTGGAATTCTCAATGATACTGGAGTCCAATTTGTAAGTCAACAGTTTGCCCACTCTAGTTTCTCAATCTCAATCTCCATCTTGATGAATGATATGATATGTTAAAAAATATTATAAAGTACATTACATATATATGGACTACTTCTAACCCTATGACCTGAAATGCTAAATTTGCAGCTAAACATAATTAGGATGTTTAGACAACTTGACTACTTTGAGGAATACCAACGTCGATTGAGTGCTATCGTTGGACCTCAACAAACTCGCCAAATTGTGAACCAAGCGCTCGTACTTATCACCGTTGGTGGCAACGATTTTGTAAACAACTACTACTTGGTTCCCTTCTCTGCAAGATCTCGCCAATTCGCTTTGCCAGATTATGTCAAGTATCTCATTTCAGAGTACAGCAAGTTATTAATGGTAATTCCCTTTATAACTTGGACACATTTTTATGCTATAATCTGCATGCCGTGCACCAGAGCAGATCACAAAAAGGTCGCGACCGACCATTTAAGGAAAAAATTCATCACATTTATAATGAGGATGCGGCGCTATAATGTAATTCCACAAAAGGCAACGCATATTGCAATTAAATTTGGTGAAATTATTGTTAATAGCTTTTTTGTTTTTTTTTTTTCTTAATTTGAGTGTGCTTGCATAGTAGAACATTGTTGCTTTGAATTATTTGAACAACTCAGTATCTCTCTTTAATTAATGCAGTAAGGAAAAATGATATCTACTCTCACAGGTATTAGGGGAGCACAAATTTGCTTTTACATCAGTGAACATGAGAAAGCAACTGCGCTCCTTGAGAAAATATTTGATAGTTTATAATTCATTATTATCGTTATTCCATACAGAGGCTATACAAACTGGGAGCACGTAGAGTTCTCGTGACAGGCACCGGACCAATGGGTTGTGTTCCGGCGGAACTGGCGACGCGGGGTACAAATGGCGGATGCTCAGCCGAACTGCAAAGAGCTGCCGCCTTGTACAACCCGCAATTACTAAATATGCTACAAGGACTGAACAAGAAAATTGGAAAAAACGTGTTTATTGGAGTAAATACTCAACAAATGCACACGGATTTCATCAGTAACCCTCAGGCATTTGGTATGCCAGTTTTAATCATACTAAAATTGAGATTTTAGGGAAACATATAAAGAGAAAATTTAATTATTATAACATGATATTGTGTTTAATTTTGCAGGATTTACCACATCACAGGCAGCATGTTGTGGGCAAGGGCCGAATAATGGACTTGGTTTATGCACAAGATTGTCAAATTTGTGCCCCAATCGTAACCTCTATGCATTTTGGGATGCATTTCATCCATCTGAAAAGGCGTGCAGAATAATAGTTCAGCAGATCATGAGCGGCTCACCCAACTACATGACGCCTATGAATCTCAGCACTATCATGGCCTTGGACTCCATGTCCTGATGACGATACCATCTTCTTAATTTTTTGGCAATATAAATGATTTATTTCGACAATGTATGTCAAATGTTTCATCATATTATTTGTTTGTCTTTTAATTATGATTTTCAAATTGTAATTGATGTTTTTAATTAAAATAATCAGAATTTCCGGGTTCTATAATAATTAACCAAAATTTCAAACCCTATACCAATGTAACCAACTCTTTAATTAAATACTATCATACTCTCATCCCTAACCTCCCAACAGTTAAGTAAAACCCTATCATTTTCAAACTTTCAATTGCAATCTCTCACACCAAAAACACAAAATCAAGCAAGTAAAATCACTACATCCAAGTAACAAGATCAATCTATTAAAATCATTATATGCTTACAATTTTTCATTTTTGATGTTATTGTTATTCACCCTTTCCCGGTTGGTGTAATTTAATACGCCAACTGACTAAAAAATGAAGCAATTTTCTCCGGAGCTTTTAGGGTTGCCTTGCTTGATGAAGAAAGATTTATTAAGCAAAAATCCAAGGTCCATTGGTTGAGTGTTGGTGACCAGAACACATCATTCTTTCATAAATCTTTGCAGTCCTCCAAGAATGCTAGAAGGATTGATATGACGAACATGGGCGTTTTGGTGGAGGGTAGTGACATGACTGAAGAGTTCGTCTCCTACTATCAAGGCCTACTACGTATGACTCCCACGGTGACCCAAATGGAGGGCCAATATACTAGCATGATTAGGCCAATTACAACGGAAGAGGTGAAGAGAGCTATCTTTGGCATGGGGGATGATAAGGCTCCAGGACCTAATGGTTATTCAACTAAGTTCTTTAAAGCAGCGTAGGGGTAGGGGTGTAAACGAGCCAAGTCAAGCCAAGTATCATCCTAAACGACTCTAGCTCGATTAAGCATTAGACGAGTTCGAGTCGAGTCACGAGTCCACTGAGTGAGGAAAATTCAGCTCGTGACTCGACTTGAGCTCGTTTAACACGAGCTCGAATTGGCTCGATTATGGCTCGATTACGACTCATTTGGGCCTTTTTTAATATAACCTGCAGATCTTGTTTTACACAAATCATATCCAATTTTTGATAAATTTGCATCTAAATCAACATAAATCACATCCAAATCAACATAAACAACGTATTACACAACAAATTATACAATCCAAGATTTAAAAAAAAAAAAAAAAAAAGACAAATGTCCATCAAAATACATAAAAATTATCATCAAAACGACATGGAACTCAAACTTCCAGAAGTTGAATCTCCAATGGTTCCTTATGTATTTGAAATTTAAAACAGAAAAAAAGTTAATATCAATGTTCAAATGAAATAAGAGTAATTGTAGAATAAAATAATAAATATATTATTAAAAATGTACTGTGATTCCTTTTTTCACTCTATTTAAAATGCGACACCAATCGGCTCCACATAACAATATTTCCACTATTTCAGGAGACAATGAAGATCGATACGTGTCAATGACTCTACTACCAACATTGAAAGTAGCCTCTAAAGCCACTGTAGTGATGGGAATAACTAGTATATCACGAGCCATCCTAGATAAGATAGGGTACTTTAAAGCATTCGCCTTCCACCAATCCAAAGCATCGAAATTTTCCAAATCACCCTGACACTTATAACATGCCTCGCTTAGATAAATATCCAACTGAGATTTATTTGGCTCAATAGTTTCAACCTCATCCAGAAAATCATCAAATTCCCAATTATCAACTCCTCCTCTTGTAAACCCCTTGGTAATTACTCCAAGTCCAACCCTTTCACTTGTACCTCTGTGGACTGCACTAGATGACTGACAATCATTAGCATATTCCCCATATACCTCATACAAAGCATCCCAAACAGATGTAGCATTTGCCCGTGCCTCAACGTCAGAATACGTCTTAGGGAAAGAAAACTCAATCACCCTCATTTTGTACCTAAGGTCCAATATAGATGCCACAACCATCAACAAATTACATTACCCTTAGTACTTATCAAACTTCTCTTTCATTTTTCTCACCATCTGTCTAATAAATTCATCTTCACTTTCACTTTTTTTATCCAACAAGATTTTGATCCTATATACTTGCTTTAGAAATACATTTGATGTTGGATAATTACTCATTGAGATGATATTGGTCATTGTACTAAAAACCTTTAGAATCTCACAGACTTTCTCTATTTTCACCCAATCTTCTTTTCTGGACAATGTTCGTAACCCTCATCCCTTTCTTTGTATCTTGGAAACACTTCTTTAAACTTAATTGCAGTTTCCAACATGTCATAGGTTGAATTCCACCTTGTTTTACAATCAAGGATAAGTTTTTGACATGGCAAACGCAATTGTTGCACAATCTCTACAAAAACCTTCAGCCTACCCTCCGAACCATTGATGTATACCACACTTTCATGGATCTTGTTGATGATTCTCCTAATCTGCCAAAGCCCATCTTGCACCATCAGGTTTAAGATGTGTGCACAACATCTGACATGAAACATTTTACCCCCACAACTCAACTGCCTTGTTATTGTAAAATTTTGCTTCAACACCCTAATTGCCACATCATTACTAGTAGCATTGTCCACTGATATCATTTGGACCTTGTCTTCAATCTCCTATTCCGCCAAACATTTGTAAATTGCATCAGCAATCTGCACACCACCTTTTGGAGGAAGTAAACAAGCAAAGTTAAGAACTCGTTTGTTCAACTTCCAATTATCATCTATCCAGTGCCCTGTCAAAACCATATACTCAAACTGTTGGTGGTCAGAATTCCACAAATCTTTGGTCAAACTAATCCTCCTTACACCTTTCAGCATTGTCTTCAACTTTTGTTTTTCCATTTCATATACCTTTGCACAATCATTTTTACATGTATTGTGTGAAATCCTTGACCATTCTGGAATCCCATATTTCAACATATTGTTCAAACCCTTCTCTTCCACAATGGTAAATGGGTGCTCATCCATAAGCACCTATTATGCAATCAATTCCCTCATAACCATCATGTCGAACTTACCGGTAAGAGCAGGAAGGACAGATGTTCCCTTACTAGAATCAGCAGGGGGAAAATTAATATTTTGTTGCCTACGTGAAGTTGCTCGCTTCACACACCTTTGTAAATATCTTCCAAAATGTGTAGTGCTTCCGGATGCATGAATTTGAAGCTTGTATTTACAATGGATACACTCTGCTTTTTTCTCACCGTTAGGAAGGACCACTTCTTTGTATTCAGCCCATACTGTAGATATCTTGGCTCTCTTTCTCCTTTGAAAGAGATTAACATTTGCATCCTCATTCGGCGGGCAAGTAACACTTGGTTGTGTATCCATGGTTTCATCCAATGTCGACTGGCTAGTGGATGCCATACCTATAAAAAATAAATAAAACTTGTAAATGGTCCGGCCTAACACAATTTATTAACCACAAAAACAAGTAGGGTTGACTAAATAAAAAGCATTAGCACAGGCAACTAAATGGCAGCAAAAACAGGGGTAGCAACAAATAAAAAAAAACCAGCAGCAAAAATAGGGGCAGCAACAAATCAACCCAACCAATACAAATAGCAAAAGCAGGGGCAGCAAAACAACCAGCCAACACAAATAGCAAAAGCAGGGGCAACAAAAAACCCAGCCAACACAAACAGGGGCAGCTAAATGTAGACAAAGCAGGAATGCAGCATAATAAATGCACAATGCTCATGCAAAAAACCAAAAATTTCTAGCAACAATCACAAACAGCAAAAGCAGGGGCATCAAAAAACCCAGCCAACATAAACAGGGGCAGCAAAAATGAGCCCAGCCAACACAAATAGCAAAAGCAGGGGCAGCAAAAAACTCATGCAAAAAACCATAAATTTCCAGCAAGAATCAGCTCAAATGCAGTATGTGGAACAAACATGTTGCAGAAGGTTAATAATATACAATAACTTCAAATGAAAAGAAACGACTAAACACATTACAAATCCAAGAAATAAGATATTTCCAACACACTTGTTTAAAGAATGTATAAGATTACTGAAATAGACACCAAATTGAATTTGATATTAACATCGCATTTACTCAAAATTCTAGTCTTAATAGTTTCCAAGTTACAAATGGCAAAAGCTCGTTTTGCATTATTAAACTACAAAAATGGTGTTACATTCAGCAAGAAACAATGAAACATATAATATTTATTCAGAAAACATAAATTTGCACATTTCTAATTCACAGTAGATGAACTTGTTATCTATTGTGGTCACTCATATAGCATTAAGAAAAAGTTTATGCCATAATACATGTTGACATACAATGAAAATGAAACCGTTCCATGCATATCACAAGATTCAAATGGACTCATAAAATGTTTATACGCATCAAATAAAAATAAAGAGATCTCACATGAAAATGAACCTTTTCAATCTCACAAACTGAAAAATAAAAATAAGAAAGCCAAAAATCAATTAAAAATGTGCGTCTCCAATGCAACATTATGAGAAATTAAAAATCAATTAAAAATGTACGATATTAGTTTCCATATTAACCAAGTCCTAAGACAACATTATGAGAAATTCTCATTCATTTTCAATCGTCATACTTCCCATGCCTCCAATGCAATGATTTATGTCAAAATACACTAGATCTCTGAAATGTTTCACCTCATTAAGTGTACTCAACAAATCAGTGACAAAAGTCTACTCAGCTTCACTTCACATATATCATAAATCGGTCACTCAATAAGTAACATTAAATTTCTTCAAAAATTTTCTAAACATCTCTGCACTAACCCAACTACAAACAACCAAATGCAACTACAATAATCCAAAATAGAAACCCAACTACGAACAACTAAATGCAACAAATTTATGGAACAAAAACTAAAAACAAAGAAATACCCAGTGCAAACTTGCTCATATAGCCAAAAAAATCCAGATTTTGTGAAGGAATGAACCTGTTGCCATCGAGATACACAACTCCTCACAAATTCTTCACAAAAATCAGCGTCGTCGATGACGAACAGGGCGACGAGAAGCGGTGGTTATTGGTGATTGGGTAGTTCTTGTGTTTGTGGGTGGCTTGGTGTGATAATCGGGAAATTGTTTTTGGGGTTTCTTGTTTTAGGGTTCTTGATTTGGGGGAGAAATGGAGAATGCATTTATGTGATTTAATTTTGGATTAACTGGGGTTATTTGGTTAAGGGTTAATTTGTGATTTTTTAAACCTTTTAGTCTTTTACATGTCAAATTACAAACAAACCAAAGACTTGTATTATGCACAGAAAAACCCTAAACGAGGTACTATTGGCTTGCAAGCCGAATCGAGCCGAGTCGAGGTAGACTCAAACTCGGCTCAGTACCTTACTCGAGTCGAATTCGAGCCGAGTTTGAGTATTTCACTAGCCGAGCCAAGCCAACTCGCGAGCGGCTCGGCTCGGCTCGATTGATAGCCCTACCTAGGGTGTTGTAGGGGAGGAGATAACTAAGGTTGTCAAGGACTTCTTTACCAAGGGTAGACTTCTTAGGGAGGTCAATGCCACAACCATTGTCTTGGTCCTAAAATTGGAAGTGTCGTTAAAAGTTAGTGATTTTTGCCCCATCTCTTGTTGTAATATCCTCTACAAATGTATCTCCAAGATGATAGCGAATAGGGTAGTGGGTTGCCTGGGGGAGTTAGTTGATCTGTCATAGTCTACATTTATTCAGGGAAGGAGGATCAGCGATAATGTATTGCTTGCTTAAGAGATATTCCGGAACTATCATGGGAAGCAAGAATCCTCCAGTTTGCTTTTAAGGTGGACATTCAAAACACCTATGATAGTGTGGACTGGGGTTTCTTATTACAGGCCTTCAAGTTGTTTGGGTTTCTACAACAGATGATTTCATGGATCCATGAGTGTATCACAACACCTTCCTTTTTAGTGATTATAAATGGGGAATGACATGGTTTCCTCCCAAGTAAGAAAGGCATCAGACAAGAGGACCCATTGTCCCTATATCTATTCATGTTAGTTATGCAAGTGATTTCTCTTATCGTTAGGAGGAGGATTTGGGAGAGTGAGGGTTTCAGATACCACTATAGATGCGAGGCCCATGAGATCAGCCACTTATGCTTTTCAGATGACCTCTTCCTGTTCTGTCATGGGGATCAATATTTGGCTCAAATTCTATGGAAAGCCTTATCAAAATTTTCAAAGCTATCAAGATTACATCCTAACCTTTCTAAAAGTTCCATCTTTATGTGTAAGGTGGATAGGGTGAGTAAAGTTACTATTAAAGGCATTATGGGCGTCAAAGAAAGACAACCTTTTTTTTTTTAAGTAAGTAGTATCCTTAGAAGAGAGAAAGAATGTACATAGAGGCCATAAAAAAAGGGGCCATCCTACCTTCGGATAAGCCTTGAGTTAGGAATAAAAACACAAGCCTAAAAGACTAAGAACCTAATGCCCTCTTGTTTGTCTATCTTAAGCACATAAAGGATAGGAGACAAAAGGAGAAGAGCAAGCAAAGGAACACAAAAACAAAAACATCCTACCACAAGACATGCCTTGGGATATGATCCAAAAACAAAATACCTAAATAAGACAAAGAACAACTATACACAACATCATTTCTACCTTAGGACAAGCCTTGGGTTAGGAAAACCCATGTTTGTCAAATGTTGGTGATAGACTTATAATTTTATATTTTTATTATCCTTGCATTTAGTTTATTTGGCATGTTTATTGTCTTATGGTGCTTATTTGTGACCATTTTTATGTATAAGGCATTTGTGAGAAAGTGTTAGCAAAATATACTTAAAATCAGAAGTTTTCAGCATTTTTACTTTTGGATGTTTTGGGATGTTTACAGGTTTTTGATCAACTTAGAGTTACAGTTTGGTTTTTGGACCTTCTATGAAGTTAAAGTAGACATCTTAAGCTTTCCAATTTGGGAGGGCATGTCTAGAGACGACTTCGTTTGGGCCTCCAAATATTGGTGTAAATTCAGAACAGAAAACTGAAATTGAATCCTAATTGGAGTAGGATTTCTGTCCGACCACTGGAGCCTTAAAAGGGCATAACTGGAGCTTACAAAATTCAAATGAGGCGATTTAAAAGCCCAAATTGAAGTGCATATCCTGAACTACAATTCTTATGAATGGGCTGAAGTCCAAAAAGCTCGTTGTCCTATCCAAAACTTGCTTGGAAGTTACCGCTTTAGCCCAAAAGCTTTAATCCTTAGCTGATTTGGAGTATTCATGTATGGTTGGTCCAACTTCAAGAGGGAGTTCAATACAAGTCTGGAGGGCTGGAAATTCGTGTGTCTTAGCTGGAAGATCACTTGCATGAATTAAGGGCGGACTTGAAGAGAGAGAAAGATGTGTTTTCCTAAATTAGTTGATTGCATTAATTTTAGGAGTTGGTTATTAAGGGGCAACTCTTGTACATTTCTTTGGAGATAAAAAGATAACTTTTAGGCTGGTAGGGTAGAGAGAATTTTTGGAGATAGAACATAGCATCATTTTTCTTTTTATTTGTGCTTTTCATCTCATCATGTCCAGCTAAATTCTTTAGTTCAACTTAAGGAAGCTCCAATTCGGTTAGCATAATTGTGAGACTTTGTTCTTAATCTTAG